GCGAAAAGGGGAGATACAATTTTTAAAGGACAGAAACATGAATTATCAGTCGATTACAATTTTAAATTTCAAGGATTGTTAAAAAAAACTTTTCCATAGTATCAAAACAAAACTAAAAAGTGTCGGTGAAAAACTTCCTTTTGTATCCGTAGGAGTTACAAAATTTATCTTCTTGTTCAGCGAGATTTCGATTAATCAGTTTTGAATAAAATTTCATACAAACTTTTTGATCAAAATTCAGCTGGTTCTCACTTTTTGAGGACACGCAAGACAACGTGGAAGAGGTTTTGGTGCTCTTGCTTAAATTGTTTGGACAACTGCAATCTCCTTTGTTTAAAAATATATAGTCCCAACTGCAAAAAAGGAGCACATTTGTTTGAAATCGCCGCTCCAGCGATTGGAAAAAACGTTGCAGGACGCAAAAAACTCAAAAATTTGCAAAAGATGTGGAAAAAAAACAATTCCGAAACAATTGGGAGGTAGATAAGTTTAGAATTAGTAGACCAAAACGCTTTCTCGAAAACTTCGCCGAATAAAAGTTTCTCTTGCCAAAACATTTTTGGCAAAATTAGTTGAGTTTAAATTAAAACAATCAATTGAAGTTCGGGGCTTTTACAAATTATTCTATGGAGAGTTTTGAGCAAGTCTATTTTTTGGAAACGATTATTTCTTCGTACCTACCAGAAGTATTTCCCAGTACTTCTCTAAATGAAACCAGTGTTGAAATTGAAGATGAAACGGTTCGAAATCTCTACTTGGATATGCGTGATACCCAACTAAGGTTAAAGCTTCAATGATTCAGGGCAAGGTTGTTTGATAATTTCAAAAAGCAGTCAGAACATAAAGCAAAATCTTGCAATGAAATCTGGAAAGAGTACCTGCTCAATATAGTTACATAGAAACTATACCAAGAACGTTTACCATTCCATCTCGTCAAAGCCAATTCATACAGCAAAATAATTTCAGTAACGCTCCCATAAAAAAAAAGCAGTTGAATTGAATACAAGTTCAGCTGTTGCCTGATCTTTTCATGAAAATTCTTCCGCCTATCATCAATTTCATTTGAATGAGCTTGGTATTATTCGGACTGGAAGATCAATTGTGTCATTAGACACCACTTCTCCTTGTCGCTCCTAAGTTGAATTGCGAGGAAAGCAGTGCAGTTTATCAAAGATTTTTCAGCTCTTCCTATGGACGAATTTCAAAGTCGCTACATTCTAGTTTTTTTTTAATTTTAATTCACTACAGGTTGCAGCTGAACAGTTGCATTATTCAGTACTTAGTGGATAAAGCATGAGATTAGAAATTCTTTTCCAGTTTCTCGTGGAGCAGCTAACGGAACTGACAAATTTGGAAAACTCGCTAAAAGTGTTTATTTTTTTTGAGTTTTCGGGTTTCTATAAAAATTTGTGAGTTTTTGGAAATTTTCATCTTAGTTCTCTTTGTACTATGTAATTTGTTTTTTTTTTCAGATCAAAATCTGCATCAAACAAGGAGTCCTACATAATTGCAAAACCGAAACACTACAACAATCTCGACTGTGAAGCAGTATTCAATAACCTTTGTCCTGTTCTTAGGACTGGTGTATGGGATTTGGTTGATTCAGAACTTACATGCATGCAAATTGTCAAAACTTTTCATGTTAAATTGTTCTATCCAACAATTAGTTTTTTGTTTTTAGATGTAAATCAGATAACAAGTGCAAATATGGATAATTTTTTGTGTGTACAAATTATTGAAAAATGTCCTGAGCTGAGGATCAAGTACATGGGATCTTAGCCAACCAATAAAGTACCTCAACAAACAAAATACCCTTCGGCAATCATCAACTCAGCTCCAAGCAATGATAGAGTACAACACTGGATCATGAATGCTCAATTGGACAAAACTTACTATTTTATTGATTCCTTGGTGGAAAAGACAAACAAAATAGCCTTTTGCAATCATCAACTCAGCTCCAAGCAATGATAGAGTACAACACTGGATCACGATTGCTCAATTGGACAAAACTTACTGTTTTATTGGATCTTTAGTGGAAAAGACCAACTTATGAAAAAGTATTGGCGGATGGTTTTTCCAGAAAACTACGAAAAACTGATAATTTATGTAGGTTTTATGCATTTTTTTTTGCATTTGTTCTATCAATATCTACATGAAAAATTTTAATCTAGATGTGCCTGTTTTTATTTTATGATATTTTCTATGCAACTGTGTAGTTTTTTATTTGTAAGTGAACATTTTTGCAGTAAATTTACTATGCGATGATTTATATACTTTCTTTGTATTCAATTTTTTTTTCTCCAAAAACTCCATTTTTTCGAAGTTTCATTACATTGCAGCTAGATAGAGCGTAATTAATAAAAATATCACATAAAAACAAGTCATAGCTGGAAATTGGTTGAGTTTTATCGTGTTATGAAGTTTTTTAGAAAAAAGTTTAACTTTTTCGATGAAAAATCTCAATGTTTGCGGAAAAACTCTTACCATTGAGTTAGCATGAACCAAAAAACATAATATAGTACCTTTATTCTACAATCTACACGCAATTAATCATAGATATCTACCACTTAGATAACGCGCTCCGCAATTTTTGCGAAAAACTAGAGATTTCCACACAAAAACCAAAAAAACAGACTTTTTTCTTACCATTCTCTTACACTGAAACCTAACCAATTCTATTCCCTAACATAATACATTGTAGACTCTATATCCAATGTAAATACATAGCATGGAAGACCGGAAACTTATAACATAAGTTATTACATGGAATCTTCCATGCATTCCCCCCTCCCCCCAGCCACTTCAACCCCAACATCTCTTAGTGATAGCTTTTTGTTACTTCTAGTGCTCTAGACTATCAACGTGAAAAATCAACCAATCCAGTTAGTTAATTATCAACTTGCTCTTAATATTTTGGCTTGATAAGTTTTGAAAGGTTGTAGTTATCAAAACTGTTTTGAATCGATTTTATGATTATATACTTAAAAATTAAAGAGTCGTCCTTTTTTTTGTTGTGACAGACAGAGTTTAGGGCGGTTTTCCAAGTAGAAGTCCAATGGAGGAAAATTGCCTGTAAAAAAGCTGTTGTAAACTTGAAAGAAAATGTGTCTTAAACAAGTGCAGAATTTGAGATGAACTTTTAAAAAAGTTTGTTTCAGATATTTTCATTCAGATATTTTCATTCGAATTTAATTGGTCAAATATAACTAAAGCCGCAAAATTTGATGAACACGTTCATTTAAAAGACAAAGCGTTGCTCAGTTATTCTGGGCACTTCAAGTGAAAAAAACCCTCTAGCAAGCAGTTTGATAGAAAATAGTTGATGGTAACGGATTAAATTATTAAATTGGTACAAATGTCGGACAATATAAAAGAAAACAAAAATACCAATTTGTACTTATTTTGTTTCTTCAGAATCAATTATCCTTCTGTCATATTTATTAATTTTTTATCCACATAAATCAGCAAATTTTGACTTTTTTGTTTATTTTTACAATCTATCTTTGCAAAGTATTAATGGAAATCATACGCTTATCTAGGACTTTTAAAGAAAAGCGGTCGGAGTTTTTAAAAAACTCGATCTTTTTTTGATGATTTCTGCTTTTTTAAAATGATTTTGATGAAAAAACTGATTTTTTTGGCGCACACTCCGCCAGAGTTATTGATTTTTATTTGTGATTTTGGGTTGAGAAGTGAAAATAAGAATGAGAAACAATTCAAAAACCTGTCACCTTTTGTATAATTTAACTCTGAAAAACAAAAAATCCAGACCATTGAGACCGTTTTTTTAAATCTCGATAGAATGCGAACTCTTTTAATACGATACCCCCGCATCGAAGTTTCATGGCTAAAAATTGATTATAATGGATTTTTGTTGACTAAAATGTTTGCTATATAATCGATCATCATGGTAATTTTAGACAAGGTAATGAATTTTTAATCCATTTTAATCGATTATTTTCGAAAAATGAAAATCCATTAAAATACATTATAAGTGATTAAAATCGATTTTTGTTTTCACTGTAATAGATTATTTTTTGTACATAAAATCCATGAAAATTGAAAAATTTTTGTAAAAAATGACACTACTTTTTGCAACTTTCTGCAAAACTCGAACAAACACAATCAACCCCACGCGTTTATCACACCCCAACTAAACACTGAACACCCCGCTGGGACAGGTAACTGTGTAGTACAGGTAAACGTGGGGTGTGGTGGGATCTACTTCACTACACCCCCCCCCCCCCACCACCACTCCAAACCCCCTCTCCCCCCGCACGTTTACCCATACAACATAATTACCTATCCAAGTGGGGATTGGCGAATAAAACTCAATTAAAAAATAAATAAAAATAACAAAAATACGTGACTTTTCATAAATTTTCATAAACGCGTTTGAAATTAGGAAAAATTTGAAATTTAGCGAGAGAGCAAAATAACTAATTTAAATTTAATAGTATTATGGAAAAATGAAAACAGCACACCGAAAAATTTTAACAAATGGATTACAACCCATTATAATCGATTAAAATTGATTAGTTTTCCATTGAAAACAATATATTATTATCGATTATATTGGGATGTTATTGTTTAAAAAATAGTATCATTATAATCCTTTTTTAATCAATTCTAATCGATTATTTTTGTTATTTTATAGAGACTGGCAATGAAAATCTATTATAATCAGCTATTATCCATGAAACTTCAGTGCGGGCCACTTGCCCCCTACGAGCTTTCTTACAGATGAAAAAAACCACGGAACTTGAGGTGGGTGGTCGGGTCGCAACAAAAAAATAATTATAAATTATAATTATTTCATATGCCTTAGAGAAATGCAGCTTAGTGTTTTGCTGCTGATTGGCTTAAGGTTAAACTGGTCAATCAGACCGCGCACTTTTTCAACATACAAGAAGTTCTTTTTCCTTCCACTGTTTTGCTGACACAACTGCAAAAAATTCGATTGTGCGCAAAAATTTGACTTGAAAAAAATGCGTGAAATTAAAAAATATAAATGATTTAATTAAAACAAAACTGTGCAGGAAATTCAGTAATTTACAAAGCTCAATTTAGCAGCTCTCAATTTGGGCTTGAAAAATATCTCCCACTTTGGACCACACTTCCAGGGCGTAAAAGTTGTTTGCTGGCCTTGCGAATATTTCGACTGCCAAATCAGTTCGTGTGGGAAAGGTATCCAGACCTAGTTTAGATTGCCTCAGAGGGTCCAGTGCGAAGTAGGATAACGATGGAGTTATGTGACACACTTCCCACTTTCGGCGCTCGAAACCACTCGGGTCTCGTCTCGGGTTCATACATTTGGACGTCTCGTAATCGGAGAGCTGGTCACTCGCGTGTCTCATTTCTGTGGCTATTACGCAATAGTGTGTCTCGGGTTCTGAATTATAGAGGGTGAGTGTGGGGGAGGCGCAGTCGTTCTTGGTCGTCTCCAGACTGACTCGGATTTCGGATGTGAACGAAAGTGGACTGTGGCTGCTGACGTCATCTGAAACAAATCAGAACTCGAAAAATAGGAATCTTTAGCGTGTATTTTTCTTTGTTTGAATGTATATCATTTAAGAAAAAAATTGTCAGAGTAATAAAAAGATTTGACCCCTCACCACCCAAACGGTCCCCCTTCGGTACCATTTTACGAAATATATTTTGGGCTTTCCGACCCTATAATTTTTCTAGAGGTACCTTTGGCGCCAGTAAATATAATTTTTCTAGAAGCACACAAATTTTGAGGAGCGCGCCCCAAAGAAACGCGACTTTTTTTGGTCAAAACCTTCCAAAAAATGCCCTAAATCGGCATGCGGCAAAATTTTTGCAAATAAGGGTCTCTATGGTGTTGTAAGAGAGCTTAGAAATTCATTTTGGTCTTTCGAAAAAAAGGTCATCAAAAACTTCAAGATCCGCCCCTGCCTCATACCACTAAAGAAACTGAATGAAATAACTTGTTTTTAGCCAGACCAAACTCATCGATCAAAAATCTGGAACAATTTTGACCGTTGTTTTTACCAAATTTTTTTAGTGTTAAAGTTTTTTGTTATGTTAGAAGCTTTCTGCCATTCGGATTTTCTGTCTTGAGAATAGTTCGCATATTGTCATGTTGAGATGATCCATTTATAGAATATGCAGGTTTGAAAGGATCCATTTATGGACTATGGAACTTGGAATGGATCCATTTATGGGACCTATAAAAGTGTAATAGTGTTTTGTTACCTGTGAAGAAATATCGCATAGCTATGATCTGTTTGTGTCCGTTTCTCAACTTGACAGTTGAGTAGGAGGAAGAGTAGGGAGACGAGACGGAGGAGACCTGGAACACTTCCAGGGAGTCCTTCACTACTCGCTTCGCAGAGCCGACCTTCACCCGCACGGGCGTATAGCAGGGCTAAATCAAAGCATAACACGATTTCTTAGAGTGATGGAGTTTTACAGTGATGAGTCACAATATCGGCCACACTTGAGTCCAAATAGGTGTACAAACTAGCAATTACAAAAATTGATCGACATCAATTGTAGTATATTAAAATTATGTGTAGATGAGATTGAGTACAGATCAATTCTAGGATTAAAAAAGCATTAGATTGAAAAAAGGGAAAATTAAAATGAATTTGGTTAGATTTAAATGGATATAGAATAATTTTATTTTCAAACTAAAATATACATTTCAATTGATTCCAAATCGCGATTCAAATCCATCTTTTTGACCTTTCTAAAAAGTCAATTGGAATCCGTTTAATTCGATTCAAACTGATTTAACTTGACTTTCGATCAAGCTTTTTTTACTAAACATTTCGTGCAAATTATATACAAAATTTTTTGACTTGTTTCACCTCAATTATGAGTGATTTTTAAATAAGTTTATGACATGTGTTGTTCATTTGATTTCTTTTTTTTTTCGATGTTTCAATGTTTTCTTTTTAAATTATATAATAGTATATTATTACTTGACAATTTCTTGTCTAAATCTTTCCTATTAAGGAAGATAGGCAAGGTTAAGGTCTTACCTATTTAGGAATATATATGCGCTAGTTATGCGCTAGAACCGGATAGGTTGAAAACATTGCAAAATGCGATACTTGGAGGACCAACTAACTCATGCTCTTTTCATAAACTTATATAGCTCAAGTTTTTGAGCGAGGTGCCCGGGATGAGGTTTTCGACTCATGATTTGACCGACACGGTGGGGTGATCAGCGCTGAAATAATTATTTCAAACTGAGCTGAGGCGCGCTTCTTATCAGTGCCGTTACTCTTCTGACGCTACTATACCTGAACTAGGAGGTATATCCTGGACCAGTTCATCTGAATCACTTCCTCCAGGTCCATCCTGATCTCCTCTTTCGGTCTTAGGGAGAGATATCTGAGCATGAATGGACTGGCCCGCTCCTTGTACTCCCCCCTCGGCACCACTTGGGAGAAGTAGGGGGTGGTGAAACCTGTCACTGGGTGCATCTTCGAAATCAACCCAATCGTTTTCTCGTTCTCGTAACGCAATCTAAATATGTTCATCAGCCAGTCAAAACACAATTCAAAACAAGGCTAGCCGGTTACTGAGCAAGTAGCGCAGAATGTTTCGACCTCATAATAGAAAAATTTACAAAGAAAAGCCAAAAATAATTTAACAAATTCAAATATGGCGCTGCAATAGGACAAAATTAACAAAAAAGTCATAAATAACTTTCCTTGAGGAAATTTAAGTTTTGACGGCCTAAATTAAAGCAAAAATAAGCTTTTGTAAGCCTGCTTGCTTGCATTATTCGCTCAAGTTTAGCCTAAAAATCAAAAATTTCAAACCTGTCTTTCTCAACACTGGGACGGTTTTTTCGAAACTTTTTAGAGTCGTTCGAATCAAGACTGAAAGAGCTTTAATATATTATATCACTAGACTCATTAACATTATTGATTGTAATTTTTGATTTTGCGTGGAAACAAAAAAAACTAAAACACACCTGATTACAAAGTTCCTCCCCATTTTTCAAATAGTTGGAACAATTACAATGAAAAAATTTTTAAAATTATTTATGGAAAACTGAAATAACTGAAACGAAATGTTGAAGCTTTGAGAAGCAACATACGCTTATGCAATTTATATATAAGGAAAGTTTGACAAAAACTTTTTGAGAAAAAAAATTGCACAATTCACAAAGATTTTTTTTATCGTTTGAAGTGACTGTAAGTAAGTATGGCATAGGATAGTGTTTAAAAATAGGTTACTCATAGTACAGTTGTAGAGGGCCAGGTGTGGTGTCATTATTGCAGCCTTACTGATCGTGATTCAAATTCTATAAAAAGCCCAAATTATTCAAAAAAGAAGTCTCACTGTAGGAAATGTCTAATTGAGTATTTCCATTTTAAAACAATTTACGAAAACTGACGTCACACTGCTGGATATTGCTGAATTTATTTACACTGCAATTGTTTCCTCGTAGTTTGAGTTTCTACGTAACAATCTATAACCCTTTCAAGGAAGGGGAGAGATTGTTAAGTAGATCAAAATGATCGATTTTTCGACCAAGTAGAATGCAGCAAAATTCGAACTTTCATTACAAGCTCTAGCGCTAATTTACTGGATTTATTTGTAGATGTAGAGTTTCTTAAGTAGGTACCATAGGGAAAAATATAAAACTAGATCTGAGTGAGAATTACTTCCCATTTTTGCAGCTTTTTTATATTTTAAATACACTTTATGATTGAAAATGTTCCAAAATTATTTTTGCAAAAGATTTAAAGGTTTTTACATTCTGGGTTACTTCAGTAACGACCGGCTAGCTTTTTTAAAATTGGAATTATGAATCAATAGCGGTTGTTGCCAATTTAATTGAACAAGCCCATGCTTATTTTTTCTTTGAATTTTGAAAAAAAAAATCCAATAAATTATTGTAATATAAACTGAAGCATCCGAAAATTTTCATTACAAATGAATTACAACAGAAACACTCTCTGAAGTTTTCTGGCGCTTAATCTCTCCAGTAGAGTAATGGAAAAGTTCAATTTTAACTAGGTTTTTTCAACGGTGACCAAAAACACAGGTTATCAAAAATATACGTAGGATGTTGTCAAATGTATTATATAATAACTTCTTTCTAATCGTATCTGTAACCCTCCAAAGATCTAATCATTTCTGGAAACATCAAAACAGATTTTTCAGGTTTTTGTGAGGAAAATAAATCAAATATTGTTTGATCTTCAGAATTTGATCGACTTTATTTAAAAAAAACCAGATATGTTTTATGAGGTTGCAGTGTCATCTAGCCTCAAACATTCAAAGTTTTGCCATTTTATCCAAATAAATTTCACAAATATGAGTTCACAAAAATCTTTCAGAGTGTATTGATAATGCACCAAAAAAACGTTTGCTGATATAATCAGTTATTGAAACATCTATTTAGATTAATACATTTTTGCAATAATTGCAATTTCTGTTGTATTAAACTCAGTTTTTGTTTCAAAATTCAATTGAACACAATTTAAAGCAGGACAGAACTACACATATAAATCAAAAGTTTTAAATCCAACAATTTATGATAAAACACCAGGAAAATTTGCCCTTCAAAGAGTGTAGGCAAAATTTTTACGAACATCGCTTTGCTGCATCTGAAGCAGCCGGAAACCACTATATAACAACCTTATAAATTTTTTGCCTTTTGCAACAATTATATTTTGTTCTAATGACGCGCTAGTTTTGTGAAATTGGGAAATCAATTATTGCTGCTCAGATTTATGAAAAAAGTGACAGAATATTTGGGGGTGTTGACTGGGGGTGTTGACTTTCTAACTAGCCTGTTTTGCCGGACTCTTTTTATATCAGCCGGAACGTATGCTTGCCTTGAGCTCAAATGTATTCAAAAAAATCACCCTCAATCATTTTTCGTTAAAATATAGGATATAAAGTTTGCAAATTTGGTCATATTGGAATAAATTATGCGCAATTATCCAAATAAAACTGATAAAAATTAAGACCTAAAACACTTTCTTCTCAAGTTGGGTTGGATTTAGACAAAAAAGAAAAAGACAAAACTTATTTAAGAAGGGTACTAAAAAGGGCATTGACTAAAAAAAAGCCAAAAACGCGTTTTGGAGTGAAGTTTTTGGCACTAAGTTTGCAAAATAACTGGCATTTAATTAACGTTCCTGAAATTGCCGTAGAAACTGTTGCAAATTGAACTGCGGCATGCTATTTGGTTCATTTAAAACTTTGCGAAAAACAAAATATGATGTTTTCTATTTTACCGAACTTCAAAAAGTCTCAAAAAAAGTCGAACACTATGCGTAGTACCTAAGGCAGTCGGAACATTCAGAGCTTCGCGTGCAGTCTTGATTTTTTTTGGTAGTGATTGTATTTACGCCAATCAAATAATGCAAAATTGGTCGCAAACAATTACTGCTGATTTTTCCCTACTTTGTTAAGAGCGCACCTTTAAATGCATAAAGAAGTTTTTTTTTTCCGAAATTGCTTGTTAAATGTCTAAAATTGTCTGGAGAGAAACCAACACAAGCTAAACCTTTCTGTCAATTTTTCAAAAATTGTTGTATAATAATTTACATAGGATTTGTTTGTCTGAACTTTCTGTGCTATTGTTACAGCAATTGGCTACTCGTCGTGTGATTTTTTTTTATTGGATTTTGAGATCTAAATCAGTTATGACAATTTTAATTGAAAAAAAGGTCCCTTTTACGATGATTTTGCCCTTTTCAGTGACAAATGTGCCTTAATAACTTCGGTTCAACTTAGAGAATGCAAAATCACGGTCAAGATAGTTATGCATTATTAAAATTGCCCAACTGTAAAAACAAAATTGCCGTTCAAAATTTAGATATGAAGTAGGGAAATCAGATTCGTTTAGATAAATTTAACGATCAGATTGATATATTAAATATGCATATCAAAAACGAGGTTCCCTCCAATTCACAATAAATTTTAGAAACAATAGTTAATTTTAACTTATCAAGAATGTGACTGATAATTATGTTTGGGTTTTATATTCAATTTTATTCAAACCAATTTCCAAAATAAGGGTTCATCTCTATATCTGTATGTTACCAGGGGGTTGCACACCACTATACCAAACTCCTTTTGCGGTCGCTCTTCTGATTTAAATATACTATTTTGTTAATATTTTGTGGTGAAGGAGTAACGCGAATTTTTGTGCTTGAAGATTTATCCCGCACCACAAAATTGTTCGAAATTAATTTGAAATAAGCTAGTTGGTCGTATCAATTCCGTATGTATTACTACTCAAGTTTATTTGTTTTCAATGTCCAAAAACCATAGTTTGTCAATATTTTGTTTACCAAAAACTACTAGAGACTTTTTAGTGGGTTTGTCCTGATAAAGTTTGTCCGCAACTATCATGGCTTTGTCCTGATATACGAGCAGGGTGGCTGTTTTAACCACTGACTTCTGTGATGATACATTTAAGAGTGAAAAATTAATTCTCTATTGCTCTTGATGGTTGATTATAAGTTCTTCAATGCTCAAAAAGGCTGAGGCATTTTTTAAAATTTAACATTCTGATTAAAATTAGTCTTATGGGTCTAGTTAGTTTTAAAATACAATTAAAAAAAAAACACTCACAAATTCAAATTGAACCCTGTTTTTACTAAATACAGTCAAAATTTGATCGTAATTATTTTTTAAACCAATTTTTGAACAATGAAAATCATAAATAAAAGTAAAATCACCCATATCATCCATTACTAGCACAAAATTGATTGAGCCCCTGAAGTTCAATTTTTTTTATTTTGTAAGCACTGTTTAATTGAATAAATATGTGTGATTATCCATAGCATCTAAATGTAGCAAATTCAAATTCATAGTCGCTTAGACAGCTTGCAAAAAAAAAACGTTCCAACTTTTGATCCCATCAGAAAAGTTCCCATAAGAAAAGATTGAATGGTCAAAATTTTTCTGATCCAATTTTTTTCCAAATAGTTATATAGTTAAACATAGTTTCAAAAATCAAAGTAATAATAGTTATAGAAAAAATTTTTAGCGTCAGATTGTAAAGCAAAAAATTTAACTCAATTGAAAGCCATTCAGATTTTTGGCTGGTGGTCCTTGATAGATTAAAGTTCAATTCCGCTCGATAGGGTAGGGTTTATTTTCCTCTCAGACAGCCGTTGGCAGATTTTAACGAACTAAGCACACCACGTGCCACATTAATGCGACACTGTAGTACCCATTTAAGGTTATCCAGCCGTTTATAAGAGACTAATTCAACGGATAAGCATATGGGGATAAACCCTCTTTTTGCGATAGGAGGGGATAGCTAACGAGACCAAATTTCTCGTAGAAACTAATGCTTCTTCAAATAATTTTCCCTGTAAAAATAAGATTAGATTAGATTTTGCCCTTGGCAGAAAATTGCAAGCAAAAAATTAATCAATTGCAGTTTTAAGAGATGGAATTTTGAGAAAAAGGTTTGTTCTGATCCTGCTTGCGTGTGAAGACTTCTTCAGCCGTTCTAAAAAGACTACAGTTCGGATGGCATTCGAGTTTCTGAATTCATTTTATGAGTGTGGAAGAAAAATGAATGAGAGCTTGCTTTTGATCAGTGCAACTAATTTAATCAGATACTGATTATAATAAAGTGAGCCCAGAGCATAGGTAAGACCGCAGGCCGACTTTGGACGGGGAAGGGGAGTTGCAGTGAGGGGAGGGAGCACTTTAAGGGATTTTGAGTCTTTTATCAGTCACAGGGATCCTTCTGTTGCTCTTTGATCGCATCCGATCTTTGAGGACTGAACGTTAAATTTCTTCAAAAACGCGTTTGGATTTTTGATTACTCTTCAAAAAACCTTTACAATTTTTCGAAAGAAAAAACAGATTTCCGCTCTTATGATGTGTTGAACCAACATATCTCCTAAGCTTGAAACAGTTAAAGATGGTTTTTTGTTGAAGCCTGCGTCTGATTTCAATGTTTAGATTAAACAGTAGTGATAATGGACTCACTCCTCGGGAAGGTATGGTTCGTAGTTGTAGTTGGTGGCACACTTTCTAAATAAAGGTTTCATGCATTGCCCATACATAACTCCACTCCCACTCAACCCACTGTCCTGCATGGCCGAATATACACAGCTGGAACACCTGTAAAAAACAATAACTTTTACCACAGCCCCAAATATTCAAAGAGCAGATGAAATCAAATCTTTCTTTGAAAGCCCGGCGGAGCATGCTCTAACTTCTTTCTAATGCCGCGTGTATTTGTTTTTTTTTTACTGGGTGACCCTAATGCTAAATTTTCGGCCATCTGGTCAAATCTTACATGCAAGAGCTACCCCTCTCCAAAGACTAAATACATCACTGATGCCCAATGAATGAACAAATGAATGAATGAAAGAATGAATGAATGAATGTTTGAATGAATGAATGAATCTTCTAGCATAGTTGACACGAACTAAAACTCTAGCTGACTAAGATCGACGATCGCAAAACCCTTAGCAAAAATTTGGTCATCAGAAGCATTAAGGTCAGTTTTTTAAACAAAACTTCGAATTACCATTACTGGCGCTAAAAAGTTAAAATGTAAGACCAAGTTAACACCCCCCCAAGCCATGGGGGGGGGGGGGGGGAGGATGTTAACTTGGTTCTAAGTTAGCCAATCAGAACCGAGCATTTTGCATACAGCGCTTACCAAATTTAATTTATAGTAAGCGCTGGGGTGGAGGATCTTAACTTGGTCTATTTATGGGGGGAGGGGGGGGGGATGTTAACTTGATTTAAAATGTATTTTGAAGATTGCTAATCCCCGACTGAAAGAAACACTGATTAGAGTTTTCTGGATTCTTTTCCTTTGAATTTTATGCTAATTGAACTGGAACTGACCTGTCGAATGCAGTGTATGAGACGACAGTGAGACATGTCAAGTGCTCGCCCATGTCTTCATAAGGGCGTGGCATTCTGGGCCAGCTGAGCCACATGTTCTTCAAGTGATTCGACTGCCCCAGTTCAGCCCAAACCTCCCCACTGTTGTTACTCGTAGGGTAGAACACACCTGGAAGCAATTATACAATAATATAGCTAATAATAAATTTCTGTGCAATGCATTGCAGATGTGGAATTAAGTCTTTGCTATATTGTTGTTAATATGAGCGAACAAAAAAGGTAGTCTTAACTAAATAGGTTATTTGAGGTACTATCAAACATATTTGTCAAAGCAAAATTTATTCAAAAAAGTTCTCCGTAATTACACTGAGACGTTGATGATAAACTCTTATACTGATGATAACTGATCCAGAACTGCAAAATTAAATCTTTTTCGAATATGAATCTGTGACCGAGCGCTGTTAAAAAGCCGCGACGCGACCATGATGATTTGAGACGTCACCCGGGTACTTTCTGTTTTCAATTTTTATCGAAAAAAGTTTTATTATTATGATACTTTTCTTGATTGAATTCCTAAACGATTTCTGTTGCAGTGTTCAATTTATCAAGTGATCTTAGAAATTTTTTTACTAAGTAGGAAAACCGTTAGGTCATTGTTCCATCATAACGAGGCCAATCTGTGTATATTGTGAATTGTGAGCGGATTCCGCGACAGGCTGAAAACAGATATTTGTCGCGCAACATTACTAGTTTTAACCCGCATTGGAGTTCCTTGAATAAAAATCGATTATAATTGAGTTTCCTTGTCAGTGTCCACAAAAGTGAAAACAAATCGATTATAATCAATTAAAAATGGATTATAATATTAGTGTTTTTCGAGGCAAGAAAATCCTTTTTTCATCCATTATAATCGATTTATTTTCACTTTTGTGGACACTGACAATGAAACTAAATTATAATCGATTTTTCCCACTTTACTGAGATGCAAATTTCAAGGCAAAGAAAGTCTTTTCTACGTTTTAAAACAAAGCTGATTACTTGTTGTTCAACGGGGGGTGTTCAGGTGGGGGGGGGGTTCAGTGGGGGGAGGGGAGCAAAGGGGTAAACGTTAGGGGGATTGAAGGGGAGCAAAGGTGCAAACGTTGGGGTGGGGGGTATGTGGGTTCAGGCGGGGGAGGGGGTTATGGGGATTCAGGTGGGGGTATGTGGGTTCAGGTGGGGGGGGGGTTGTTCAGGCGGGGGATGTTCAGGTGGGGGGGGGGTCCAGTGGGGGAAAGGGGAGCAAAAGGGCAATCGTTAGGGGGATTGAAGGGGAGCAAAGGGGCAAACGTTGGGGGGGAGCTCAACGGAAATTTTTGCAATATGAGGTATTGAAACGGATTAGGCCAGGCCGTACACTCGCTTTGCAAAGTTTCCGCATCACGCACTTGATGAATGCTGAAATTCTTGCAAAATTTTGCACGACGCGCGAAACAAAAGTAAAATGGAAAAAAAATCCATTTTAATGTGATTTCCTACTTATTATAAAATCCATTACAATGGATTCAAAATGAATTAAAATGCACTTTGTTTTGGTGAGAAAAACTGGATTTAAATTCATTTTTAGTCCAATTTTGTTGTCTGAACGTAACATGGGAATCGTTTACATTTACAAAATTATTGACCACGAAAATCCATTATAATCGATTTGTTTTCACTTTTCTTAGATGCGGGAATTGATCTTTTAGGCTGTTTTAGATTCCACAAGCAAGTAGCTGAAACAATAAATGGCTCAAAATTGCTCCAAAAACAAGCGCGTTTGCTTAATTTGCATCAAAGTTTGCAGAATACGGAACAGTTCGCCGAATCTACAAACAAATCATAATCAGTGTGTATAGTTTAAATACGCTGTCGCGGAATCCGCAACTGTAAGCGGAATCCGCATAATGTAAACAAAGTCTTCGGAATCCGCTTAAATTTGCGGAATCCGCTCACAATTTGTGAAATCCGGAACAATATTTACATTCGCTCGTAGCGGAGTCCGCGGCAAAAATAAGAATCTGACAAAAGTGGAACCAGTTCATATTTTAGAACAAGTTTAAAGACTTGCCTTTGGATTCCAGTGAACTACAGACATCAAACTTTGCGCCTAACCATATCACAGTTTGGCCTCGTAATGTTTTGATATTTATTTTAATTACCTTTAACTATGGAATATCCAGCACAAGTCGTCCAATAGATCATACGTTTTTGCAGTACGGCCTTTTTTGTTTTCTTTAAACATTGTATATGTAGGTATATCTTAAACATTTTGTATTACAAAATGTTAAAAGTTATACATTTTTAGACCTTTATCTAGTCTTCACATCTAGTGGGACAAAAAAACTCAGGGTAGTTGAAGCACCATAAATTTGATTTCCGAAAATTCAGCGCATTTATTGTCTCAGTTCGCTTATCAATCGTTTTTTCTATCCGACCACGTCATGAAATAAACTGCAAGGCACCATTGAGTATGGTGGGTTTTTTGTAACCCATTTTAGGCAAGTCAGAGAAAGCGTGATATCAGTTGTGGTATCATTTTAACGCCCTGTTGCTAGTGAACCTGCTTCAGAGAGAAAATTCAAAGTTTTGTCTCAGTATTGAGAAAAACCGCTCTAAAATTTTTGCTATTCATACACAAGAGTAACAAATTGCAGATAATTCAGCTAAAACTCTTCCTGTATACAATAAACGAATGATCTCTTACCTAATGCTGGATCTTGCGGTTTATTATTTGTTAGTCATACAAAAAAAAATAGTTTCAGCGGGATTAACGAATGCAAATTTAAATGCTTAAGCAAACGCTAAAACCATAAAAAATTTTGAAAAACTAAAAACTACTGATGTTTCTTTTTCAATTATGACTTATCTGCTCATAATGATAGCATTTTGTGCTACTTAAACATTGACTCTCCACTCTTTTATTATAAGCCCTATAGAACAATCGGTATTTAACGAATCCACCTTTGAATTATATGGTAAATAATTAAAGAGATCCCAATAGTGCGAGTACTCTCCACCTAATCTTCGCTCTTGTCTAATACTCACTCCGGTAGTTGCTCTGATCGCTCTCCGAAGTGAATATTCTGACTGTGGTGTTGCGTCTGAAGCCACTCAGCCTCAATTTGTACACGCCCTCTCTGGAGTTGTCTGGACTCACCACCACCACCTTCCTGTGCAGCTGGTCCACCATTGTCGCTTTCGGAAGCTGCTGCTGTTGTTGTTGTTGTTGTTGTTGTTGTTGTTGTTGTTGTTGTTGTTGTTGTTGTTGTTGTTGTTGTTGTGAAGGGCTGCGGGATCTGAAATTGGGAATAATCATTCGCGAAGGAAAGGAACATAAAAGCCCGACAGTTTTTTTGTTTTTGACGGGGTAGGGGTTTTGAATAACCTCGTCGGTATTTCGAGTTTTTGATTTTTTGAACAGCCCAGTTGCTGAAACTCCGGAATGGCCATATTTGGCATATCTGTCTGAGTCTGTCTGTGATTTTGTTATCACGCTACTGTGCGAGCAGTTCAGTTATTTGTGGATAACTGCTGTTGAGCCCATTTGAAGTTTGATAAACGTCAACAGCCACACGTATAAACCGCGTCCAAGTAGTTGCTGTGCGTGGCTGCAGAAAAAATGGAAAATGGACTCCAATGCAGTCATTTTCAAAAAACTTGGATAGATCAAATTTACAAGTCTGTAAATGGCCATACTGTGGGTCTAAATTGCCGTTCTGTTGCTGGTCGAATGTCGGTTTTGGGCTATTGGGGGAGTAGAAATCTATGTCTGCGTGCCAGAAGGGATCATAGTCACAGGAAGTGATCACGAACTCCAGCCACACTCCCCCACATTGAGTCATGTAGAACACACTGAAGGGCAAACAGAGACGAATTCTAATTTTTTTTATTTAGCAGGTTTACTATTTTTTAATGATATATTTAGTGAACACAATTGAGCGATGTCCCCCCTAAATCGAAACTGATTCAGGGGGATATCGCTCACTTAGTCCAATTAATGTTCCGGCTTAAGGTGATCTATTACCTTATTTATAAACTTATTTTTCATCAGCATGTTAGGTAACCCTGAGTAATTAAATGTTTGCAAATTTTAAGATTAAGGCTCCTGGGTTAAACTCAATAGAGCAAACAATTTTTAAAAACAATTGCCAACTTGAAGTATTTCAATCATTTCCTTAAAAGTTTTTTAAAGATTTCAAATCAAAACTTTTGTGCTTTTTACGATAGACAGGGTATTTAAAAAAATATATATATATATCTGGGTTACTGAAGCCATCTTTTTGTAATAGGCAGCAAAAACTTGCAAAATTCTAATGATGCATTTCATTAGGTTGAATTTTTTTGTACTTGCAAGTTATTGCGATTTATCACACTTGCGAGAGCAATGGTCTTGTAATCGGTAGCCAAACTTTTTTTTCCAGCGAACAACTTTTCGTTCAAGAAATTGAACTTGCCTTACTATTGAACCTAGTAACTTCCAGTTTCCTTCTGGCTTGGCCTGGAGGTAACGCGGCTGGGATTCGAGTGCCGGCAGGACCTTGTTTTTTCAGAAAGTATAAAATTGAAAACTTTTTACGGGTAAAAATTGAGTTAAACTAGAATTCCTGTTTGATAAAAAACTACTGTGAAAATAAATGAAATTAGGTTTTGTATTTTTTGAGAAGTTTTCAGTTTTTCACTTTTTGTAAAGTTCTCGTATTTTTCAATAATTAGTATTTCTACATATTTTCAAAAAAAATGTAAAAGGAAAAACAGCCTACTCTCATGTGTGTCTGCATAATCATAGTCCTTTTTTTACTTTACGTCCACTGTCTACAGCCTTTGAAAAAATGGGAGCAGTATTTGAGGGGTGATTCTTGATCCATATTCGTTTCTCAATTTCTCAATTTGTTTTACTCAATTCTGATACTTTAGGTTAAATGGATAAAAGGGGTTGTTTTTTTTTCATTTTTTGACCATTTTTAACCCTTTTTGATTTTATTGAAAACAACGCGACAAAATCGGAGATTTTGGGTTCAATCCAAAAAACGGTTTACGGGAAACTCTCTTGCGTATATGGCTACGCCCAAATTTTTTTGTACAAATATTATGGCTCTCGGAAAAATCAAATTGTAAAAAATTTCTCACTAACTGCCTTGCAAAATCTGAGCTTTTGGGTTCAACCGAACGGATTGTGGGAAACTGTTTTGCATAATCGACTACGCGCAATCTTTAAAAAAAATTTATGGCCCTCGGAATAGTGAATGTTTTTTGGACCATTTTTTGAAACTGGTTTTTTCTCGATAATACTGGCTTTTTCTCAATACTACCCTCCCAAATTCGAATTTGAATCCATTCAAAATAAAAAATTCTGCGAATATTTTCTGCATAAGCGGCCACACTTAAAAATTTTTTCACAAAAAGCTAAAACTCGAAAAAATCAAACTTTTCTTTTTTTCTGATTTTTTCAAAAACTTTTTGATTTTTTCTCGAAAACTACCCAGCCAATTCTTAAGTTGAGTGTTCAATCGAGAAAACCAGTCGGAAAAGTATACATTTTTTTGCTAAAGCGGCCACATGAAGAAAAAATTACAGTATTTGAAATTTTGACCTTTACTTATGAATTTACTGACTTTTCTTAGAATTATCCTATCAAATTGGCGATGAAGGGTTCAATTCAAAGAAGCGTTTGTGAAAACTTTTTTTACAGAAGTAGCAACTTCTATTTTTTTTGTAGAAAAATCTGTTTTCGTTCAAATCAAATCAGACAGCTGCGGCTAGTTTTAGCTGGGCCCTTAAAAATCTTTTTTGGAGACATAGAAAAACTTTTGTTGACGTAGTTTTTTTAAGAATATTTTTCAGTTTTGTTTTCAACTTATGTTTTTTTTATGTTTCTGTTGTATCAAGATGTGCAAAGTTCTGCTTTGGCTCTGCATCAAATTTTCACTGCATTTGGTGCTGCAAAAGTCTGCATAATGCTTGCTTAAAACAACCGGATGAATTGAACTAAAACAAAAATTTCCAACTTGTTTCTCTCAAATTCGGTTAAATTCGGACAAAAAATGATAAGGGTTGCAGTTTCGCCATACATTTTGTGATACAACTAATTTTTCAAAAATTCTAACTAAAAGAACACCATTTAAGGAGGAAAACAAGGTAAAAGGAATTAAGAAAAACTACAGTTGAGCCTGTTTTCTTTCCTAATTGTGACCTAGAAAAGAACCAGTTTAGTTTTGCTTCTTTGGTTCAAACTCCGCAGAATGATTTGTACCATGAAAAATCTAGCTTTATTTCAAACAATTCTAGCCTATTTTTTTGTCCAAAGAGTACCAAATTTGAGAGAATGAAGCTTTCAATTCATCCGGCTAATTCAAATCAGCACCTCAGAAATGCAGTAAAAGTTCGATAGACTGCAAAAACAAGCGTGAACAAAAACAACCC